CAAACACAAAACAAATAGCCAGTAACGTTAAGAGGTATAAATTACAAAATAAATAAATTACAATGAGATTATGTTTTGAAGACGATTCTTTATTAAATGTAAATTAAGTAAATAGAAAAATTAAAAAAAAAATCAATACCAATCACTTATCTCTTACCTCCTTTCTTATGATTACCACCATTTTTTTGTTTTCTCATTTCTGTTTTCTTCTTTCCAAACATAACTTTACCATTAGTAATTTTCTTATCATCTAATTTATTAAATCTTCCTTGTTTGGCAAGTGCTTTATCTCTGAAACGTGCTTTCTTCTTTTCTTTTTTAGCTTTAAGTCGTTGAATAGCATCTTCTCTTCTTTTTTGTTTTTTCATTTTATTTTCTTCTTTTTGCATTTCAAGGTTCTTCTTTCGTTGTTCAACTGCTTCAATTTTCTTTTGAATCTTCATCAACTCAGGTCTTATTCGTTCCATATGTTCATCTGATTTAAGCATTTCTGCATAATAATCAACTGGTCGTTTATGTGGATATTTGTTAGCATTGAAATACTTTCTTGCTTGTATAACTGATTTAATTGCTTGTTGATAAAAAACTAACTCACGTTCATAGTCATTATCGATATTTTGTACTTCAGTAACATCTTCATTTGTTAATCGTAAATTTTTTTCAAATTCTTCAGGAGTTTTACCATCTTCAGTAACTATTTCTTTACACATTTGATTTAATGCTTGAACCATTTCTGGAGTATTTTCCAATTTGACAACTTCAACTTCGGTCATACAATATGATATTCTAATTCTTGTTCTTTCTGCTTTTTTAAACCCTTTTTTCTTTTTTCTTTTCTTGTTTTATACAACAAAATATTTCTACAATAGAAATATTCCTGATAATTCATTGTAAATAAAAAAACAATATGAATTTAATCTAATAAAGATTCTAGTAATAACTAAAACTGTCAGTCTCAAGACAAATGAATATATTACTGATTATTTTTCTTTTTCAATGTTATGGGTTGTATGACTTTCTTGATAACGTTTTTTCTATTTACAAAACTCGTTTTGAAGTTTGTTTAATCTTCTATACTTAGAAATTTCTTCACTTATTTTGTAGAATAGAAATAAAACTAGAGCTAGTTGTTCCTCTTCATGTGTATTTGACATTCATGGATTTTACCAAACTGAAGAATACCAACCATTTCCATTATCATATCTAGGAGGACCTTATCCATTACAACATCCATATTATTGTGGAATATCATGTTATTTGAAAAGTTATAATTCACCAATGGTACATTATTCCAGTTATCCAACACAATATGATAATGATGATATTTGTTGGTCTAAAGAACCTCCCAATTACTTTTTAAGGATTTATCCAAAACCATTATTCATTTCAATTCATCACTCAAACACAGCAATATTTTATCCTGGGTTTCAAACAATACAATATTATAATCCACAAGACTTTGAATATTCAAGAGGAATTGAATTTGGTAAATCCACATTCTTTATATTTTATGATGTCTCAAGTTCTAATAGTAATTTTAAAGAAAAGCGAAATGGAGTATCACTTCTTATTAATTCTATCAGTCCACTACAACAAGTTCGTTTAGTTATTTTTAATAATGAAGCCAGAGTATTACAAGGATTTATGGATATTACTCATAGTTCAATCTATAGAATGTCTGATAATGTTTGTCAATTTACTACATATGGAGGAACAAAACCAAAGGAACCTTTTTTATTGATGAGAGACTATATTTTAGAATATAATTTAACAGGAAATGATGCACATATTATCTTTATTAGTGATATGAAAGTATATCAATCAAAGAAAACATTACATGAATCTATTAAATTATTAAGAAATCGAGTGAGACAACATTTTAATAGTTTTCAATTACATATGTTAGACTCATCTGAAGATAATATGGGAAGAAGTGATTGGATGAAAGAATTTGCTTGTGAATTTGATGGACATTATCTTCAATATCGAGGAAATAAAGAACAAATAATTCAGACAATGCAAAAGTTCATTCATATATTAAAATATAGAATGAATGCTCTTCCAGTTGGGACACAATTTCCATTTGTAAAATTAAGAGACGTTGATTATGGTACTTTTTATCCAAGTGGTGTTGCTATAGTTAAACCATATTATGTAGATGTTCATTTAATTGATCCTCTCTTTCCTCTACGTCATGCATGGACTTTTACAGCTGTATTTTTACCTGGAGCAATTCCTCGTTCATACATAGGAGATGGAGATACTAATTATTATCCATCTCCTACCATTGATAGAGTAAGAAAGTATGTTTTAGATACTAAAATTGGATATCAATGTGATTCGTTCAATGAGTTTAATAGTGAAGAACAAAAATTAATTGTTGATAGTCTTAATGGATTTGATTATGATTGGAGATCAAAAACACAAATAAGATTTTGTCCATATAACCGTTTGATTAATGAATCAGATAAAACAAACCAAACTTATTTTTGTTATCAAACACCAACATGTCCTAATATTGACTCATTTTCAAAACAAGAATATAATTTTCAAATTCAAAAAACTTGTTCATCTGAAATGTCATCAATGCTTCTTATGTTGTGTATTTTATTCTTTTTTTACTAATTGAATAGTT